GAAAAATTAAAAGGTGAACGAACTCCAAAAATCCTTGCCACCCCTTTGGACTCTCTTGCATATAGTGGCCGTGATCCCTCTTGATGCCAGTGTAGAGGTCCATAGACACAATACATAGGCTCCAGAGTGAATGTCCATCATAATTTTCATAATGGCAAGCAGTCATTGATCAATGCAACCATGTGACCATACTGATCAATGAGAAATCTTGCTCTGTAACACGTTACCAGAAGAATAAGACTCAGATGTGCTTCTCATTGGTCAGCATTTTGGCTGCAGAGCAATGAGCATTTGCTATTGCAAGCTTTATAAAGGATACTCAATCCAGGCCTGTGTTTTTGACATTGATTATCATGTGGCTTCCTGCAAATGCATTTCTCAATGTGGAAATTAAATCAAGCTTACTACTAAGCCTTGAAAGTTTTATGTGGCAATGTGATTTAATGTGTCTGCTGTGGACAATTCATGAAATCACACGCACTTTTAAGTTTTTCTTATTCCATTTTTTCGGTAAGAGTCCTCATATATTTGGTGGTGCACATGGGTGCTGGAAGGTTCTAGCAAGAGTCCTCACTTTATTGTTTCTGATTTTGAACACTATTTGGACTTTGACTTTTTGGGACTTTTCTATTTTATTTTTCCCTTTATTTATGTATTTTTTTAGGCTATCATTTTGTATATTATCTTTATTTTTTATATATTCTCATGTTATGATTTGTTTCCAGAATTTTTTTCTATATTCTATTTTAGAATCAATTTAAAATTTTATTTTTGAAGACCGCTACTGTATATTCATTCTATTTTATTCTATTCTAATCTGTTCTATTTTTTCCATTCTATTTTTTGTTCCTATTCTATTTTTTTCATATTCCAATCTATTTTTTTTTCAGTCTATTCCATTCTATTCTATTCTGTTTTATTCTATTCTCTTCTATTAAGCAGACTAAGTAGGAATCATCATCTTATTTCACTTGTATACCTCACTATATTTATTGCATTATAGTTCCATTTGAATTTGAAATAATTTTCAAATTCAAATTCAAAATCATTTTTGAACTCGAAAAATGAATGTTCTTATCATTTATTTCCTTGAAACTCATTATTATTGTGATCCGGAAATTTGGATACATCTGAATCTCCATATAATTAAAATTTCCAAATTTTGATTCGCAATGAAACAAATTGCACATGTCTATAACCATCACAACTAGTGTCAATAATGCAACAGGGCAAAAAAAATGTATGTTTCAAAGCAAAATCTGTGCCATAATATATAAATAAAAATTCTGGTGCCAGCAAACAATGTGGCAAATTATTGGTGCCGATTGACCTGTGCGAAACACAACTGCTCCATTTTAGAGAACAGAATTATTATTTTTCTTTGTTCTTTACTCATTTTATCATTCTATAAATTAGAAATACCATTTCAGAATTTTTTGACAATTCTGGAACAGAATGCAGTCTTCTGATTCACTTCAGACTTCCTGTCAGAATATTCACAGAAGGTTGTTTCTAACAGAATTCTGAACACTTTCTTACTTTTATGAATGTTTTATTTGTTTATACCTACTGGTGGGTCTTTCTGAGGTCTTGCAAGATGCTAAAAAATGTTCAAACCTGTTGGATAGTGTTCTTTAATTTACAGTGCAGGTGTAAAGCTGTGTACAAAGCTCCCAAGTACGCTTCATTAAATTCTAACGAATGCTTATTGTAGAGCTCCTAAACTCAATTTCATCTTTGATGCATCAGTCATAGCTGCTGGTTGTGGCCAGCGAACGTCATGGAAAATTAGCTGATTATGTTTGACATTAAAGATATGATGTATGATATACACTCACCGTCCACTTTATTAGGTACACCTTGCTAGTCCCGGGTTGGACCCCCTTTTCCCTTCAGAACTGCCTTAATTCTTCATGGCATAAATTCAACAAGGTGTCGGAAACATTCCTCAGAGATTTTGGCCTATATTGACATGGTAGTGTTACACAGTTGATGCAGATTTGTCGGCTGCACATCCATGAAACGTTGACACAAGACAGGATGGATCCATGCTTTCATGTTGTTTATGCCAAATTCTGACCTTACCATCTGAATGTTGCAGCTGAAATTGAGACTTATCAGACCAGGCAACATTTTTCCAATCTTCTATTGTACGATGTTGGTGAGCCTGTGTAAATTGTAGCCTCCATTTCCTGTTCTTAGCTAACAAGGTGGCACCAGGTGTGGTCTTCTGCTGCTGTAGCCCATCTGCTTCAAGGTTTAACTTGTTGTGTGTTCATAGATGGTATTCTGCATACCTTGGTTGTAACAAGTGGGTATCTGAGTTACTGTTGCCTTTCTATCAACTCAAACCAGTCTGCCCATTCTCCTCTGACATCAACAATACATTTTCAATCCGCGCAACTGCCGCTCACTCGATATTTTCTCTTTTTCGGACCACTCTCTGAAAACGTTAGAGATAGTTGTGTGTGATAATCCCAGTAGTTCAGCAGTTTTTGAAATACTCAGGCCAGCTCGTCCGGCACCAACAACCATGCCACGTTCAAAGTCATTTAAATACCCTTTCTTCCCCATTCTGATGCTTGGTTTGAACTTCAGCAAGTCGTCTTCACCATGGCTAGATACTTAAATGCATTGAGTTGCTGCCATGTGATTGGCTGATTAGCAATTTGTGTTACCAAGCAATTGAACAGATGTACCTAATAAAGTGGCCAGTGAGTGTATATTTTCAAAGCAAAAGGTAATTAAGTGGTGCATGTACGTATCATTTCATAAATTTGCAGCCTTTTGTTAGCAACTTTTTTATCTATAAAAGAGGTCTCCAAACTGTGAGCCAGGGGCTGCCACTACTGTAGATGTAGTAACTAGAGATGAGCGAAGTATTCAAAAATTCGATTCGACTGATTCGGCAAATTCGTGGAAAAATTTTGATTCGAGTCGAATATATTCGCTGCGAATTTAACTTATAAAAGGGTGTTTCTAGGCTTCAGAGAGCCTTTATATTAGTGCAGAACACTGTACCTTTAATTTAAATGCCCTTGGAGTCTGCTGGGGAAGAGAAATAATACTGACAGTCAGTATGACATGCAGATGAGTGCCGTCGATCTTAGAATCACCGCACACTTCACTCATTTGGGCAGTCACGGGGCCAAAACCAGAGTGTGGAGCCACAGTGTGGCGGTGGAGGCAGCAGCAATGGGAGGCCATACAGCACCCTATGACAAAAATGGAAACCACCAGCAGTGTGAGGAGACCTGAAAGTGGCACATTGCAGAGTGTGGCGATGGAGACAGCAGCAATGGGAGGCCGTACAGGGACCCATGACACACTCTGGACTTGGCAGCAGCATGAGGAGGCGGTACAGGGGCCCATGACAGATTACGGGCCTGGCAGCAGCATGAGGAGTCGGTACGGGGGCCCATGACACACTCTGGACCTGGCAGCAGCATGAGGAGGCGGTACAGGGGCGCATGACAGATTACGAGCCTGGCAGCAGCAACTTGGACAGGAGGACGTTCAGCTTCTGCACCGTCGGGTGCGTGCTCGCAAACTGTTGTCTCTTGGAAACGGATTCCAAGAAAGACTGCTGACGGAATCCGTGAAGAGGAGTAGCAGGAGAAGGAGCATCTGAACGAGCGGAATATGCCAACAAGCGACAACAGGGGCCCATGACAGATTACGGGCCTGGCAGCAGCATGAGGAGTCGGTACGGGGGCCCATGGCAGATTAGGGGCCTGGCAGCAGCTATGGGAGGCCCGTAATCTGCCAGCACCCTATGACAAAAAATGGAACACACCAGCAGTGTGAGGAGACCTGAAAGTGGCACATGGCAGAGTGTGGCGATGGAGACAGCAGCAATGGGAGGCCGTACAGGGACCCATGAGAGACTCTGGACTTGGCAGCAGCATGAGGAGGCGGTATAGGGGCCCATGGCAGATTAGGGGCCTGGCAGCAGCTATGGGAGGCCCGTAATCTGACAGCACCCTATGACAAAAAATGGAACACACCAGCAGTGTGAGGAGACCTGAAAGTGGCACATGGCAGAGTGTGGCGATGGAGACAGCAGCAATGGGAGGCCGTACAGGGACCCATGAGACACTCTGGACCTGGCAGCAGCATGAGGAGGCGGTATATAGGGGCCCATGGCAGATTAGGGGCCTGGCAGCAGCTATAGGAGGCCCGTAATCTGCCAGCACCCTATGACAAAAAAATGGAACCCACCAGCAGTGTGAGGAGACCTGAAAGTGGCACATGGCAGAGTGTGGCGATGGAGACAGCAGCAATGGGAGGCCGTACAGGGACCCATGAGACACTCTGGACCTGGCAGCAGCATGAGGAGGCGGTATAGGGGCCCATGGCAGATTAGGGGCCTGGCAGCAGCTATAGGAGGCCCGTAATCTGCCAGCACCCTATGACAAAAAATGGAACACACCAGCAGTGTGAGGAGACCTGAAAGTGGCACATGGCAGAGTGTGGCGATGGAGACAGCAGCAATGGGAGGCCGTACAGGGACCCATGAGACACTCTGGACCTGGCAGCAGCATGAGGAGGCGGTATAGGGGCCCATGGCAGATTAGGGGCCTGGCAGCAGCTATAGGAGGCCCGTAATCTGCCAGCAACCTATGACAAAAAATGGAACACACCAGCAGTGTGAGGAGACCTGAAAGTGGCACATGGCAGAGTGTGGCGATGGAGACAGCAGCAATGGGAGGCCGTACAGGGACCCATGCGACACTCTGGACCTGGCAGCAGCATGAGGAGGCGGTATAGGGGCCCATGGCAGATTAGGGGCCTGGCAGCAGCTATAGGAGGCCCGTAATCTGCCAGCACCCTATGACAAAAAATGGAACACACCAGCAGTGTGAGGAGACCTGAAAGTGGCACATGGCATGAGACACTGTGGACCTGGCAGCAGCATGAGGAGGCGGTACAGGGGCCCATGGCAGATTAGGGGCCTGGCAGCAGCTATGGAAGGCCCGTAATCTGCCAGCACCCTAAGACAAAAAATGGAACACACCAGCAGTGTGAGGAGACCTGAAAGTGGCACATGGCAGAGTGTGGCGATGGAGACAGCAGCAATGGGAGGCCGTACAGGGACCCATGAGAGACTCTGGACCTGGCAGCAGCATGAGGAGGCGGTACAGGGGCCCATGGCAGATTAGGGGCCTGGCAGCAGCTATGGGAGGCCCGTAATCTGCCAGCACCCTATGACAAAAAATTGAACACACCAGCAGTGTGAGGAGACCTGAAAGTGGCACATGTTTGGGGCATGATTCATGGCGGATTTAGTCAGTTGTGTCAGGAACTGGTGGTTTGAAATCCAGACTAATCCACGCCTGATTCATTTTCACAAACGTGAGTCTCTCCACACTTTGGGTGGACAGTCGTGTCCTCCGCGGAGTTACAATACCTCCTGCCGCACTAAACACGCGCTCCGATGCCACGCTACTGGCCGGGCATGACAGCCTTTCAAGGGCAAATTCAGCTAGTTGGGGCCAAAAGGTCAAGTTTTGTTGCCCAGTAGTCAAGGGGATTGTCTACCTCGGTTGGCAGGGTGCTGTCCAAGTAGGCCCAAGCCTGTTGTTTGAGGTCCTGCTCCAGGTCCACCTGCTGCTGCTGCTGCTGGCTAGGGCTGGTTAGTAGTTTCCTCACTGCGCTGGTGAAGAAAGCTACTCATCATCGACTGCAGACTGAGGCAGCCGCTGCTGGTGGAGCTGCCACTGCTCCTACCACCCCACCCCCCTTTGCTGCCATGGCAGCGGAACGCGAGCGCACAGGGCCCACAGTGTCTGAGGATGGACGTTGGCGCAGAAAGGCAGAGACCAACTGACTACATAGGTGGTTTTTATAGTACGTTATTTTGGCCTCCCTCTCAGCAGGTGTGAAAAAGGCCACCATTTTTGAACGGTAGCGAGGGTCCAACAAGGTGGACAGCCAAAAGTCATCCCTCTGTCTGATGGTTATTATTCGGCTGTCGCTACGCAAGCAACCGAGCATGCTATGGGCCATTTGTGCCAAGGAATGCGAGGGACTCCCTGCCTCCATCTCCACAGCATACTGCCACGGTGCATCTGGGTCCTCTGTCTCCTCCTCCTCCTCCTCTACCAGATGCTCCTGCTCCTCCACTCCTGTCCGCTGAGTGGAAAAACCACCCATTTCACTCAATAATTCCTGAGCACCAATGTCCTCCTCTACCTCCTCCTCTTCTTCCTGTCCTGCCCCCACAGGGGTCATGTGGCGTTGAGATCTGTGCGCCACGTCTACCGCATCCTGACCAGCCATTGTTAACAGCATTTGTTCCAGGACGTGCAACAGAGGAATGACGTCGTTCATCCCATAGTCCTGCCGACTCACGAATAGCGTGGCCTCCTCAAAGGGCTTGAGCAAGTGGCAGGTGTCACGCATGAGCTGCCAATGGCTGACATCGAAGTTACACAGGGAGTACCTTTATCCGCTTGTAACATCAGGAAATCGGTGATGGCCTTTCGCTGTTCGTAAAGGCGGTCTACCATGTGTAGGGTTGAATTCCACCTTGTTGCAACGTCGCAGATCAGGCGATGCTGTGGAATTCCGTTCTGCCGCTGCAGCTCAAGGAGGGTGTGCTTTGCGGTGTAGGAATGGCTGAAATGCATGCAAAGTTTACGTGACATTTTAAGGATGTCTTGCAGTGGGATGGTGGATTTTAGGAACCGCTTGACTACCAGATTGAACACGTGAGCCATGCATGGCGCATGGCACAACCTTTCTTGACGCAGAGCAGACACTATGTTCTTTCCGTTGTCGGTCAACATGGTTCCGATTTTCAGTTTGCGCGGAGACAGCCATCTGTCGATTTCTCTGTTCATTACACTGAGAAGTTCCTCCCCTGTGTGACTACGTTCGCCTGGACCTGGTAGCAGCATGAGGAGGCGGTACAGGGGCCCATGGCAGATTAAGGGCCTGGCAGCAGCTATGGGAGGCCCGTAATCTGCCAGCACCCTATGACAAAAAATGGAACACACCAGCAGTGTGAGGAGACCTGAAAGTGGCACATGGCAGAGTGTGGCGATGGAGACAGCAGCAATGGGAGGCCGTACCGTACAGGGACCCATGAGACACTCTGGACCTGGCAGCAGCAGCATGAGGAGGCGCTATAGGGGCCCATGGCAGATTAGAGGCCTGGCAGCAGCTATGGGAGGCCCGTAATCTGCCAGCACCCTATGTCAAAAAATTGAACACACCAGCAGTGTGTGAGGAGACCTGAAAGTGGCACATGGCAGAGTGTGGCGATGGAGACAGCAGCAATGGGAGGCCGTACAGGGACCCATGAGAGACTCTGGACTTGGCAGCAGCATGAGGAGGCGGGATAGGGGCCCATGGCAGATTAGGGGCCTGGCAGCAGCTATGGGAGGCCCGTAATCTGCCAGCACCCTATGACAAAAAATGGAACACACCAGCAGTGTGTGAGGAGACCTGAAAGTGGCACATGGCAGAGTGTGGCGATGGAGACAGCAGCAATGGGAGGCCGTACAGGGACCCATGAGAGACTCTGGACCTGGCAGCAGCATGAGGAGGCGGTATATAGGGGCCCATGGCAGATTAGGGGCCCTGGCAGCAGCTATGGGAGGCCCGTAATCTGCCAGCACCCTATGACAAAAAATGGAACACACCAGCAGTGTGAGAGGAGACCTGAAAGTGGCACATGGCAGAGTGTGGCGATGGAGACAGCAGCAATGGGAGGCCGTACAGGGACCCATGAGAGACTCTGGGCCTGGCAGCAGCATGAGGAGGCGGTACAGGGGCCCATGGCAGATTAGGGGCCTGGCAGCAGCTATGGGAGGCCCGTAATCTGCCAGCACCCTATGACAAAAAATTGAACACACCAGCAGTGTGAGGAGACCTGAAAGTGGCACATGGCATGGAGACATGAGACACTGAGAGACTCTGGACCTGGCAGCAGCATGAGGAGGCGGTACAGGGGCCCATGGCAGATTAGGGGCCTGGCAGCAGCTATGGGAGGCCCGTAATCTGCCAGCACCCTATGACAAAAAATGGAACACACCAGCAGTGTGAGGAGACCTGAAAGTGGCACATGGCAGAGTGTGGCGATGGAGACAGCAGCAATGGGAGGCCGTACAGGGACCCATGGAGACACTGGACCTGGCAGCAGCATGAGGAGGCGGTATAGGGGGCCCATGGCAGATTAGGGGCCTGGCAGCAGCTATGGGAGGCCCGTAATCTGCCAGCACCCTATGTCAAAAAAAATGGAACACACCAGCAGTGTGTGAGGAGACCTGAAAGTGGCACATGGCAGAGTGTGGCGATGGAGACAGCAGCAATGGGAGGCCGTACAGGGACCCATGAGACACTCTGGACCTGGCAGCAGCATGAGGAGGCGGTATAGGGGCCCATGCAGATTAGGGGCCTGGCAGCAGCTATGGGAGGCCCGTAATCTGCCAGCACCCTATGTCAAAAAATTGAACACACCAGCAGTGTGTGAGGAGACCTGAAAGTGGCACATGGCAGAGTGTGGCGATGGAGACAGCAGCAATGGGAGGCCGTACAGGGACCCATGAGAGACTCTGGACTTCGCAGCAGCATGAGGAGGCGGTATAGGGGCCCATGGCAGATTAGGGGCCTGGCAGCAGCTATGGGAGGCCCGTAATCTGCCAGCACCCTATGACAAAAAATTGAACACACCAGCAGTGTGAGGAGACCTGAAAGTGGCACATGGCATGAGACACTGTGGACCTGGCTGCAGCATGAGGAGGCGGTACAGGGGCCCATGGCAGATTAGGGCCTGGCAGCAGCTATGGGAGGCCCGTAATCTGCCAGCACCCTATGACAAAAAATGGAACACACCAGCAGTGTGTGAGGAGACCTGAAAGTGGCACATGGCAGAGTGTGGCGATGGAGACAACCCACTGACTGTTTTGCTCGCTGCCAAGCTGCCACCCTCTTCTCCTGATGATGCGGAAGCAATAGCCTGATGACGACGAGGCTGCCAAGTGCGATCAGCCTCATCATCATCAATTAGGGTCTCCGCCTCACTACTAACCCTGTGGCTGCGTGTGGGTCAGGAGACAGACCTGTCTCTAGACCGGCTACCGAGCCACTCTCCTCGCCACTACTTCTTCGCCTGGCTGCTGAAGAGGCGGATGTCTCCCCCCGTTCCTGACCGCCCTCTGTTAGCTCTTCCTCACTGTACTGGATGACACCGGGAGCACTGGCCTCTGGCTGCGAATAGTGCTGCCTCGACCCCTTCCTCTGCTGCCACGTCTGCTCGCTCCTAAAACATTGCCTCCTCTGCCACTCCTCTGCATGTTGTCTGACATACTCTTTAATTAACGATTCTGTGTCCCTAAGTAACAATTCTGTGTCTGTCCCTGAGTAACAATTCTGTGTCCCTGAGTAACGTTTCTGTGGCCCTAAGTAACAGTTCTGTGGCCCTCAGTAACAATTCTGTGTCCCTCAGTAACAATTCTGTGTCCCTCAGTAACAATTCTGTGTCCCTCAGTAACAATTCTGTGTCTGTCCCTGAGTAACAATTCTGTGTCCCTGAGTAACAATTCTGTGTCCCTCAGTAACAATTCTGTGTCCCTCAGTAACAATTCTGTGTCTGTCCCTCAGTAACAATTCTGTGTCTGTCCCTGAGTAAGAATTCTGTGTCTGTCCCTGATTAACAATTCTGTGTCCCTGAGTAACGTTTCTGTGGCCCTAAGTAACAATTCTGTGGCCCTCAGTAACAATTCTGTGTCCCTCAGTAACAATTCTGTGTCCCTCAGTAACAATTCTGTGTCTGTCCCTGAGTAACAATTCTGTGTCTGTCCCTGAGTAACAATTCTGTGTCCCTAAGTAACGTTTCTGTGGCCCTAAGTAACAGTTCTGTGGCCCTCAGTAACAATTCTGTGTCCCTCAGTAACAATTCTGTGTCTGTCCCTGAGTAACAATTCTGTGTCCCCCTGAGTAACAATTCTGTGTCCCTCAGTAACAATTCTGTGTCCCTCAGTAACAATTCTGTGTCCCTGAGTAACAATTCTGTGTCCCTCAGTAACAATTCTGTGTCCCTCAGTAACAATTCTGTGTCCCTGAGTAACAATTCTGTGTCTGTCCCTGAGTAACAATTCTGTGTCTGTCCCTCAAGTAACAATTCTGTGTCCCCTAAGTAACGTTCTGTGTGCCCTAAGTAACAATTCTGTGGCCCTAAGTAACGATTCTGTGGCCCTAAGTAACGTTTCTGTGGCCCTAAGTAACGTTTCTGTGGCCCTAAGTAACGGTTTCTGTGTCCCTCAGTAACAATTCTGTATCCCTCAGTAACAATTCTGTGGCCCTGAGTAACAATTTCTGTGGCCCTAAGTAACGTTTCTGTGGCCCTAAGTAACGGTTCTGTGGCCCTCAGTAACAATTCTGTGTCCCTCAGTAACAATTCTGTGTCTGTCCCTAAGTAACAATTCTGTGGCCCTAAGTAAAGTTTTGTGGCCCTAAGTAACGTTTCTGTGTCCCCTAAGTAACGATTCTGTGGCCCTAAGTAACGATTCTGTGGCCCTAAGTAACGTTTCTGTAGCCCTAAGTAACGTTTCTGTAGCCCTAAGTAACGTTTCTGTGGCCTAAGTAACGTTTCTGTGGCCCTAAGTAACGGTTCTGTGGCCCTCAGTAACAATTCTGTGGCCCTCAGTAACAATTCTGTGTCTGTCCCTAAGTAAAAATTCTGTGGCCCTCAGTAACATTTCTGTGGCCCTAAGTAACGTTTCTGTGGCCCTAAGTAACGATTCTGTGGCCCTAAGTAACGTTTCTGTGGCCCTAAGTAACGTTTCTGTGGCCCTCAGTAACAAATCTGTGTCCCTCAGTAACAATTCTGTGTCTGTCCCTAAGTAACAATTCTGTGGCCCTAAGTAACGTTTCTGTGGCCCTAAGTAACGGTTCTGTGGCCCTCAGTAACAATTCTGTGTCCCTCAATAACAATTCTGTGTCTGTCCCTAAGTAACAATTCTGTGGCCCTAAGTAACGTTTCTGTGGCCCTAAGTAACGATTCTGTGGCCCTAAGTAACGTTTCTGTGGCCCTCAGTAACAAATCTGTGTCCCTCAGTAACAATTCTGTGTCTGTCCCTAAGTAACAATTCTGTGGCCCTAAGTAACGTTTCTGTGGCCCTAAGTAAACGTTTCTGTGGCCCTAAGTAACGATTCTGTGGCCCTAAGTAACGTTTCTGTGGCCCTAAGTAACGTTTCTGTGGCCCTCAGTAACAAATCTGTGTCCCTCAGTAACAATTCTGTGTCTGTCCCTAAGTAACAATTCTGTGGCCCTAAGTAACGTTTCTGTGGCCCTAAGTAACGGTTCTGTGGCCCTCAGTAACAATTCTGTGTCCCTCAATAACAATTCTGTGTCTGTCCCTAAGTAACAATTCTGTGGCCCTAAGTAACGTTTCTGTGGCCCTAAGTAACGTTTCTGTGTCCTAAGTAACGTTTCTGTGGCCCTAAGTAACGTTTCTGTGGCCCTAAACCTTCTGTGGCCCTCAGTAACAATTCTGTGGCCCTCAGTAACAATTCTGTGTCTGTCCCTAAGTAACAATTCTGTGGCCCTCAGTAACGTTTCTGTGGCCCTAAACGTTTCTGTGGCCCTAAGTAACGATTCTGTGGCCCTAAGTAACGTTTCTGTGGCCCTAAGTAACGTTTCTGTGGCCCTCAGTAACAAATCTGTGTCCCTCAGTAACAATTCTGTGTCTGTCCCTAAGTAACAATTCTGTGGCCCTAAGTAACGTTTCTGTGGCCCTAAGTAACGGTTCTGTGGCCCTCAGTAACAATTCTGTGTCCCTCAATAACAATTCTGTGTCTGTCCCTAAGTAACAATTCTGTGGCCCTAAGTAACGTTTCTGTGGCCCTAAGTAACGATTCTGTGGCCCTAAGTAACGATTCTGTGGCCCTCAGTAACAAATCTGTGTCCCTCAGTAACAATTCTGTGTCTGTCCCTAAGTAACAATTCTGTGGCCCTAAGTAACGATTCTGTGGCCCTCAGTAACAAATCTGTGTCCCTCAGTAACAATTCTGTGTCTGTCCCTAAGTAACAATTCTGTGGCCCTAAGTAACGTTTCTGTGGCCCTAAGTAACGATTCTGTGGCCCTCAGTAACAATTCTGTATCCCTCAGTAACAATTCTGTCTGTCCCTGAGTAACAATTCTGTGTCCCTAAGTAACGTTTCTGTGGCCCTAACTAACGATTCTGTGGCCCTAAGTAACGTTTCTGTGGCCCTAAGTAACGTTTCTGTGGCCCTAAGTAACGATTCTGTGGCCCTAACTAACGTTTCTGTGTCCCTAAGTAACGTTTCTCTGTCCCTAACTCTCTCCCTGAATACAGCCAGGTCTGCCTCTGTTGAATGACTGGAGGCAAATGGAGAATTCTAAAATGGCCGCCATTTATAGCTCGACCATTACACTGTGCTGGCTGGCTGGCTGCTAATTGGCTAATGCGATCACATGTCATGAATGAATGCATTATGGGTCAGCGCGCCTTGTCTGCGCGCCTTCCCAGACATCCCCGCTCCGTCGCCGCACATGTCGCCGCCATTTTAGGAAAAATTTCGATTCGCGCATCCGAAGTCTGCTTATTTTCGGATTCGACGCGAATCGAAATTTTCCTAATATTCGAAACGAATTCCACTTCGCCTACTTCGATTCGCTCATCTCTAGTAGTAACCACTAAAAACCAGTAGATGTGTGGATACCTGCAGATACATGCTGACAGCCATGAACAGCTGATGATCTGAACTCCTGGGATCCCAGCTGAAGGCATTGTGGTATTCTTGCCACAGGAAAAAGTTTTTTTGCTGCAGGCGGCCTCTTTTTGCCTGTGTGAATGAGACCTTATAGTTTTGTTTTCTTTAGAAAGCAGACATGATTTGAGTAGATAGATGCATCTCCTGACGTAGTGGTATCTCTACAGAGGTCTGACAGACCTCCTGCTTAGTCAAAGCTAGCGTTCTCCAATCATTAGAAATTATGCATTTTGCTAATTATGATCCTAATATAGGATCTTTCTCTTCAGAATTCTGGAAAGGGACAGGCTTTTCTACTTTTGATAGGACTACTTCTTAGAGGAAGTGAACTGTAAGAGTTTTTAGTGAAGATCTGCTATCTGCTATCGGGAACATTTAGAAATACCTAATGGTCTTTCTGCTTAGCAGCATCCTGTCTTGATATCCTCCCGAAAAACAGCAGTATACTTCTTATGCCTAGGCACTACTGTGCTTACAGCCTCAAAGCTGTATATAAATGCAGCTCCCCTCTAGTTAGCCAGAGGGAGCTAGATAGGTTTTCAGCTGCTGGAAGCTGAATAGCAGCCTGGAGTGAGTTAGCCTGGAATGAGTCTGCCAGGTTTACTGTAAGTCAGGGCTGAGGGCT